GCTCTTAACACCCACCTATCAGGCTTATATTCTTCATCCTGGTCACTGAGTCATGTCCATGAGGTGCTGTACGACCCTGTCTGCTGTTTGGTTTTGTCGGTGGTATCAGTGACAGTGTCAGACTCCTCAAGTGTCATTTCCGCATTTGTCCGTTTCCTTTTAAGTGTGGTCGGGGGTACTGCCAGATCCCCTTTGCCTATTCATTCGAAATTAATGAAAATTCGTGAGAACGATTGGAAGATATTTATAGATTGTGAAAATTAATAGATAATTTGTCCGTTTGTTGCCCCTGTGTCATGTGATGAAAAGTAGTATAGTGGAGACGAGTGCACATGATAATGCCTATTATTTATATATTTGAAACAAAACACGACCAAAGTATACAAGGCGTGCGAGAACGATGCGAAACCTCAGAACACAACAGGACTTAGGACTAAACATCATTTCCTCATGGGCATTCTCATATATATAGTCGAGACACACAAGTGGTTTAGGATACCATCAATATTTACATCGAATCTTATACGTATGCTCACCTTTATTTTTAGATTTGTTCTTCACATGATTTGCCTTCGCCTTGGTCAGTTGCCCGGCGAGGCGAGCTTGCTTCTTCCGCTCTGAATTCATTGGCAGTTGGATTTAATGGAGGCATATGATTGGTAAGTACGATAAAAGCGAGGTGATCCGTTGGTGGACATCCGGACTCTGCGACAACTTTCAGCCCTTGTCGCGAATAACTGCTTGTTGATAATTGCAGTTAAAGGCCACAAAGCTGTCAATACTGAGCGAATAGAAACAGCGATAACATTCAATACATGAAGCGAATACCTGCTCACTTGTAGTTGCATTTGAAAGTTAAGAGTCACTAAGCTGTCATCGGCGAGCATGTTATTCCGCCACAACATTCAATACATGAAACGAATGACTACAGTCTCGCGATGACAGCTACGAGAACTATAGCTTACCTTTGTCTGTTTCATTGGGTATTTGGGAGGATATATCCACCACTTTCTTTGGCACCCATTCGTCCAGTCGTTTGTTATCTGGAGTGATGTAAATACAACGCACAACGGTTCTTTGTTATCTGAGGTAGTATGAATAAACGTGTAATGGGTTGGGGGGAGAGAGAGAGATGTCCATGACTCGTGGATGATGGAATAGTCTCCAACAAGCGATCTCGCAAAATCCCAGTGGTCTCGTAACAGTTAACAATTGAATTGAAACAGGCCCCAAATCTCGATACTCCGGTGATAGAACTCAATAGAAATGGCAGAACATTACACTACGCGGGCGTGGCTTAGGTTGGCAGGCGTCTGCTGCTTGCTGTGGTAGGGCAGCTACGATAGACAGCGCCTAAGCGGCGGTATAAGCATCGCCATGAGATGTAAGGTGTAATATGTGTAATAAGTCTCAAACGTTATGATGTAAGACCTGCTATGCCATATAGCACTCACTATACGATATAACACTCACTGTGCTGGCGTGAAGTTAGTGTATAAGATACGGTCCTGCTTTGTTCGTATGTGTGTAGAGCGTCAGATATAATGTTCACTGTTTGATCTGAAGGTGTATGTTAGTCAGCGCTGTCCAGGTCAAAGCAGGTGTATACGCACTGGTATGTTTACATATAATAAGAGTTTAGGGTTATAGGGGCTTAACATATCATATGTTTACATCTATTCAGAGTATAGGGTTATATGGGCTTAACATATCATATGTTTACATCTATTACATATATACAATTCGCAACTTCCAGACAGTACCGGGAGGTGACACTGTGCGCATAAGGATGGCAGGTGAGAGCAGGTATTTCTAAAAACCCATCACTGACCTCTAGCACAATCACCTATTGCAGTACATATCTAAGGCCCATTCGACATTGCGAACGCAAGCGTATCTGTCTGTACCCAACTATTCACGCCCTACTCGCAACCAGAATGCGGACTCGTTGTACCGAACTTTTCGACACGGTGAACACAGACGAGCCTGATAGGATCATGCTGATCCACCTGAACTACGATAGAAAAGATAGATATGTCTCGTATTCTCTAATAAAATGCCCAATCGACTATCACCATAGGTACGGCTACAAACACACAACTTACATTCAACATAGTGCACATAGGCATATCTGTTGGGATCGTCGTGATCCACCTGGTACACATCAGCCCAAACTGTGAGCAATGGGAAACAAAGCCAAAGTGAGGAGTCCATACATAACTGGTCATCTCCACCATGAGAGCCTGTAGGTACTAGTGTACCGTTTGTATCTGAGCAACGGTAGGTATCAGAAAAGCAAAGAGCGATGATAGACGCAATACAGCCGGTTGAAATATTCGACATATAATTAATAATATACATATATATGTATATATATATATATACATATATTTATCTACAAGACGTACAATCATACATCTACACGCAAATATTTTATACAATCATACACAGTTACAGACACACATCAATTAAGCTATATGTGAACATATATACCTACATAAACACACATAA